TAAATATTTGCGTGAGGTGCTTTCAATTCGAGAGCGCCCTAAGTTCAAGCAGGAAGAGGAACCAGAACAGCCGCTGCTATACTTCACGAAGAAGGAACTCGAGGATGTAGTGCCTGGGCATGTTGATGGGTTGGTGATTACAGGAACATTGGTAAATTACAGAGTTAGGAAGATTTTCCTGGACAATGGAAGTTGTGCGGATATAATTCTGTGGCACGCATTTAAGAAGATGAATTTAGATGAAGAAGATTTGAAGGCTTGCAACACGGATTTAATTGGGTTTAATGGCCATAACACTACTCCCAAGGGGTATATTGATCTTCGATTAACATTGGGGACTAAGGAGGCATACAAGTCCAAGAGGGTGAGGTTCATTGTAGCCGACTTTCCATCCGAATACAACGTGATTTTAGGAAGACCTATAATTCATGCGTGGGACATGCTAGTCTCAACCAAGCATCAAAAGTTGAAAATGATTGGTAAGCAGGGTACGGTACTTACCATAGCTGGGGACGAAAAGGAGTCTCGGAATTGTTATTTCAGATCTGTACGGACGGTGGACCAAGATCCCAAAGACGTAGTTATGGCTAAACAAGGTGGTTACCAACCTTCGAAGCGGAGCTCGGTTAATATGGTGGAATTGGATATGAGAGATGAAACACAGATGCCAAGGCCAGAACCTGACGGCGAGTTAGATGAGGTAACTGTGGGAGCGCCAGGACAAACAACGAAGATAGGAAATGGGTTGACGGATGAGGAGAAAGCTCAGTTGGCCTCCTGTTTGAGGAGTTATAATGACATCTTTGCTTGGAAATCTTCAGATATTCCAGGGGTGGATCCAAAGTTCTGCTGTCACAGGTTAGCTGTATATCCCGGCTCAAAACCGGTAGCGCAGAAGAAGAGGAAGCTCAGCTCAGAGCGTCGGCAAGTGCTCGAGGATCACGTGAAAGCACTTCTTGAGGCCGGATTCACCAGGGAGATACAATACACAACTTGGTTGTCAAACGTAGTCATGGTGAAGAAGCCAAATGGAAAGTGGAGGGTATGCACGGATTACACTGACCTAAACAAGGTGTGCCCTAAGGATGCATATCCAATGCCCAACATCGACCAGCTGGTTGATAATTCCTCCGGGTTCCGTGTGCTATCCTTCATGGATGCTTATTCGGGGTATAACCAAATCCCACTGCATCTCGAGGATCAGGAGAAAATTGCTTTTATGGCAGAAAAGGCAAATTACTGTTATAATGTGATGCCTTTTGGGCTGAAAAATTCAGGCGCAACGTATCAATGAATGATGAACCAAGTATTCTCTGATCAGTTGGGTAGGAACGTTGAGGTGTACATCGATGACATGATAGTGAAGTCGGTTGATATGCCAAAACACGTTCGTGACTTAGAGCAGACCTTCGATAAGCTCAGGCAGCATCGTATCAGGTTAAACCCGGCGAAGTGTGCCTTCGGGGTCTTTGCAGGGAAGTTTCTCGGATTTATGCTCACGCATAGGGGGATAGAAGCGAATCCGGATAAGTGTGGGGCAGTTCTAAGCATGGCAGCGCCAACAAGCAAGAAGGAGATACAACAGTTGACAGGAAGATTGGCTTCCCTGACGAGGTTCCTACCCCGGTCGGCGGAGACAACCCTGCCCTTCTTTAAGCTACTGAGGAAAGAAGCTCAGTACGGGTGGACCTAGGAATGTGAAGCTGCATTCCAGGAGATAAAGAGGCAACTTGCTTCCCCCCCGGTGCTAGCGAAGCCAAGGGAGTTGGAAACTTTAATTTTGTACTTATCCGTTGGAGATATGGCAGTAAGTTCGGTTCTGGTGCAGGAGAATGCAGAGGGTCAACAACCGATATACTTCGTGAGCCGGCTCTTGCAAGGAGCCGAGCTTCGATATCAGCGACTGGAAAAGGTGGCTTTTGCACTTCTGGTCTCGGCAAGGAGGCTCCGAGCGTACTTTCAGGGACATAGGATCCTGGTGAGATCCGACCTGCCGATCCGGCAAATTCTCCATAAACCTGATTTGGCAGGAAGGATGATGAGTTGGGCGGTGGAGTTATCGGAGTTTGACATAACTTTCGAGAACCGTAAGGCGATCAAGTCTCAGGCGTTGGCCGACTTTGTCCGCGAGCTCACTTCAGTCCAAACGGCAGAGCCTGCTAGCCTGGATACATGGCATGTATATGTTGACGGGTCCTCTAATGCAAAGGGCATATTGAAAACCCTGATGGCGTTGCAATTGAATACTCTATGCAAATGGACTTCGATACTTCCAACAACCAGGCTGAGTATGAGGCCCTCATAGCCGGGCTGTTGCAAGCACAAGAGCTCGGAGCCTGAAAAGTAAAGGTCTATAGTGATTCTCAGTTGGTCACCTCACAAATTGAGGGAAGTTACCACGTAAAAGGACCTCTACTGGCTAAATATCTTGAACGTGCAAGACAGATAATGGCAGACTTCGAAAAGGCAGAGGTTAGTCACATTTCTAGAAGTGAGAACAACAGACCGGACATACTATCCAAGTTGGCAAGTACAAAGGGGTGGGGAAACCACCGGACCGTGATTGAGCAAAGTATCCCGGCGCCGACGTGCATCATGCAGATCTCTCAGGGGAATAATTGGCGTACTCCCATTATTGAGTACGTTGAAAATGGAACTTTTCCTGTTGAGAGAGCAGAGGCTAAGAAGCTAATCCGAGATGCGGCGTCATACACCGTGATAGAGGGGCAACTTTATAAGAAAGGTATTTTCACCCCCCTGTTAAAATGTCTAAACCCGGATAGGGCCCAATATGTTCTAGCGGAAATCCATGAGGGAATCAATGGGCAACATGTCGGGGGTAAGGCGTTGGCCCGGAAGGCTCTCTGAGCTGGATACTTTTGGCCGTCCATGATCTATGATGCGAAGGAGCACGTACAGAAGTGCGATCAATGTCAGAGGCATGGCAGGAACCTGTTGGCTCCCCCTGAGGAGTTGAGTATAATCACAGCTCCCTGGCCGTTTTACAAATGGGGAATGGATCTCTTGGGTCCATTCGCAGCTGCTGAAGGCCAGCTTAAATGGTTAGTGGTGGCAGTGAACTATTTCACAAAGTGGGTTGAAGCGGAGCCAGTCGCAACCATCACTTCGGCTCGGATTCAGCGATTTTTGGAGAGGAATATAATATGTCGGTTTGGGATTCCGGCCGAGGTGGTAACCGATAACGGGACCCAATTCGCAAGCAAAGGGTTTCAGAACTTGATGGAGAATTTCCAGGCATCGCTTTGCCTCGGTTGCACACCCTCAAACAAATGGCCAAGCAGAGGCTGCAAACAAAGTAATCGTGGAAGGACTTCGAAGGCGCATGGAGCAATCTGCCAAAGGAAGGTGGGTGGAGGAGTTATATTATGTCCTGTGGGGGTATAGAACCACAATTCAGACTTCTGTTGGGGAATCCCCATTCAGGTTAACTTATGGGTGCGAGGCCATGATTCCGGTAGAGTTGGGAGAACCATCTTGGAGAAGGGTTCAAGCCCTGTCGCAAGCAGAAGAGGTCAACAACAGTAAAATAGCCATAGAGCTGGATTTGATAGATGAATGTCGGGTCATGGCGCACTGCAGAAATGTTAGCGCCAAGCAGCTCGTGGCCAGTAGGTTCAATAAGAAGGTGAAGCCCATGACGTTTGAAGTGAAGGACTTGGTGCTCCGACGAGCAGACATCGGAGGACGGAACACGGCTGATGGGAAGTTGGCTCCAAGATGGGAAGGCCCGTTCAGGGTAAAGGAACAACTTTCAAGAGGGTCCTACGTTTTGGAAACCCTGCAGGGGAAACGCCTGACAAGAACCTAAAACGCGGATAAGCTGAAAAAGTATTACAGTTGACGGAAACCTCAAGGCCTTTTCTTTCATCTTTTCTTTTATTGTATTATGCAATTTGAATTATGAATAAATTTTTGTTTCCTGTTATAATTGAAAATATATCATGAAGCAGCAGAACCAAAGTGTTTCTGACATTAGAAATAAATCTGAGGTATTTGAACCTAACCCGCCAAGGTGACAGGGGTAGGAATTCTAACCTTGCAAAGGAATCCGGGGTATTTGAACCCGTCTCACCCAGAGGGTGGGATTGAGTGTTCTAGCCACGGAAATAAATCCAGGGTATTTGAACCCGTCCAGCCCAAAGGCAGGATAGAGCGTTCTAGCCCCGTAAGGCAATCTGGAGGAATTGAACCCGTCTCACCCAATGGGTGGGATTGAGTGTTCTAGCCCCGTAAGGCAATCTGGAGGATTTGAACCCGTCTTACCCAGAGGGTGGGATTGAGTGTTCTAGCCACAGAAATAAACACGAGGTATTTGAACCCGTCCAGCCCAAAGACATGATAGAGTGTTCTAGCCCCGTAAGAAAATCTGGAGGATTTGAACCCATCCCACCCACAGGGTAGATTTGAGTGTTCTAGCCACAGAAGCAGATGCTAGGTATTTGAACCTATCCGGCCCAAATTCCGGGTAGCGTGTTCTAGCCTCGTCTAGCCGCGGTAAAATTTGAGGTATTTGAACCTGCCTTGCCTTAAGTGCAACTTAGTGTTCTAACCCTGCGGCTCGGGACAAGATGTTTTGAACTTGTCCTCCCCAAAAGGTATCAAAAGGAAACCAAACATATAGGGTAGAAATACTCCGCAACAATATGTCGGAAGTGATCAGATATTATCGGACTAATGCAGAAAGACGCGTTTCAGGTGGTTACGCGTTTAGTCGCACACATGACACGTACGCATTTCTTACAAACCTGACACGTACGTGTTTAAACATGTTTGTACCAGGTGCGCGTTTCTGACTGTGACGCGACTATGCCACAAAATGTGTGTCTGAATATGACGCATCTTGGTATTATGCTCGTTAGACTTGTCAGAGATGCGCACCTGGTACAGACATGTTCAGACACGTACCTGGTACAAGCGTATTCAGATTTGTCAAAAATGTGCATGTGTCAGGTGTGCGACTAAACGCGTAACCACCTCAAATACGTTTTTTACATTAGTCCGGTAAAATATTTGGTTAACGATTTAAACAGGTGGATTTTTTTGAAATTTACATTTTTTTTTTTTGTCGTAAACCCACAAATACAACCTAATAGTCAAAGACCTAAAAGTCTAAAACACGACCAAGTTGTTCTTGATGTCATAGCCCAACTTCTCCAAATTCGGCTGCACTGCAAACTGAATCATGGGAGGTGGTCCACATGTCAAAGCCAAAGTATCCTGAGATGCCCGTGGAACATGCTCTTTGAGGATACTTTCCGTTACGAACCCCACGCTGTATTCCCACCCTTCTCTTATGCTTTCTTGTACCACGTACCATACCTTGAACCGGTCATGCTTCTTAGCCCACGCATCGAGCTCTTCCCTCAGCAAAATATCATCCTCGGTCCGGTTCGCGTACACCACATGCATTTCAGTGGGGTCCTCTGGATCCTTAAGAATGGCTTGGACCACTTGGTAAATGGGTGTGATCCCAGTCCCACCAGCCAACATAGCTAGCCTCTTTGCAAACTTGCGTTTCCCGTGAACAAGAAAGTTGCCTTTACCAGTGTACTCTATGTGGCCTAGTGGACCCTTCACGTCCAAGACAGAGCCAATAGGAAGCGAGTCCAAGTGTTGAGACATGACCCCACCATTTGGGAACTTTGGGTGCACACCTTTGAAGTAAATCTTGACCACTAGATCGAAGTAACCCACTTCATCGACGCCGCTCGTTGGAGTGTAAGCTCGCATGCAAAGCTTCTTGTCAATGCTTGCACATAAGAATATGTGCTTCCCTACTGGCAAACCCATGAGTTGCTCCTCTGAGGGTAATGCAAAACGGAAGAGCCTAACGTCGTGGGAGATCGTCGTTTTGGACACGAGCTTGCATGGGATTTTCTCACGTGGGTTAAGAGCCATGCTACCTAGTGGTGTAACTTCCTCGATGGGGGCCAAATGAGTGGTTTCGGAATTGCCATGCATGGAGTTATTCGCCGACGAATCAGAGGTGTCGACGCTGGTCACGAGCTCGCCGATTCGGTAATCCTCGAGCATTTTCTTGGCTTTGTCGGAGTGGATGGCTTCGAACTCCTCCGTGCAATCGGTGCCGGCGTTGATGAGGATGCTGTCGGTGCCGCCGGGATGGTCTTTAAGGAAGCGGGTGCAATCGTACACGTGGCCGTTTACGATGATCCAACCTGAATCGGGGTTGCTGTGCTTTTTGACTTCAGAGATGGTGTACATTTTTGAGGTTGTGTTCATGAACGGCGAGGAGACACTCTTCTTGAGGGTTGTGTTAGAAACTGATGATTTCTCGAGGTGTTTTTCTTTTGCCATCCAACCTCCAGATTGGTTGCCAGGTTGGGTTGGGTGCTCGAACACTATGCCAATCTCACCCTTATGGGGCTTGCACACGTTCGTTTTCACTCTGAACCAACAGTTGTTCATCATGCCCTGCAAAATTTAGACATAAAAAAAGCTTATTTAGACCTTTTCTTATATTTTATTTACACAAAGGTTCTATATATATATATACACACACGAGTTTTATAAGAGTTATGTTGTAGAAAAAGTGATTGTGTAATATTATAGAGATTCGTTTTGTCTGCCGTAATTTCTTTTTTTTTCTTTTTTCGTCAAAAAGTGTAAGCCCCACAAAATGTTATGTGTGTAAAAAAATTTGTCGTGTAATGTTAAATGACAAATGAAAATCCCTATATATATATATATATATATATATATATATATATGTACCAATATTATTATATTTATACTTGTTTACTAGCTAGCTATATAGGTTTTATTAAAGTGAAAGGTTACTATCAGGGAGCGTTTGGTTGAGGAGAAATTTTTTGAATACTAGGAAAATGTAATTATTAGGGAAATGGTTGAAAAATGAGTTTGGTAGGAAAATGTAAAAAAAGTTATTTGGTTGACCGAAATATTACCAGGCAAATTTATTTAAATTTGCAAAATCTATGTTCGGGAGAAACTTCGCACCTGTTTTTTCACTTCCGCAGTTATCTCAAAATACCACATCTCAAGTGATATTCTTTAATAGTGAATTTCATCCAAAAATCAACACAAAAGTCATTTCTCCATCTATCCTATTTGCCTAGTATTTTTTTCAAAAACCTAAACCAAACTTGATATTTTCTAATATCCACTTACACTTTTTCATCAATCCTAAAATAAATCTTCTACCAAACACTACTTTAGTATTTAATATTTACTGAGGTTTGGGTAAGCCGCTCACTTGCATTGGGGTATTAAATTTTAGAATTAACCCAATGGGTGTAGCTCAGTTGGTTCCTTGGCGCTGAGTTAGTGGGGTTGGACATGTGTTCGATTCCCGCTGAATGCATTCTTGGGGAGGGGGCTGAACCTTTAGCCATCACTGACCCCCGCACTCCGGATTAGTCCCATAGCCGGCTCAAAGAGTCGAAGCTTGTGGGCATACCGGAGGGAGCCAACTCGCCTCAAAGAGGTAATTAGAGTTGGGTAACTCCAAAAAAAAAAAAAAATTAGAATTAATTAATGCTATTAATTTGGCGAGGTCAAATCCAGACCAAATGATAGTACATGGTTCAGTGAGAGTGAGGCACTGATTTCCACTTTGGTGGGTCTACGAGGTGCATGATTATTTGATCCGATACCAAATGAACCAATGGTAATTTGCCAATGTGACCAGAGCTACTGCATTGGTTAATTAGTGTAAGAAATCAAAGGCTTGAATATAATTTCAATTAAAAAAAAAAAAAAAGGTGTTAGTGAGGTGTGGTTACCATAACATTCCAAATGAGCTTCTCGGGCTGGGTGTTGAGGGCGTCGTCCCAAGCGCGCACCGCAATCTCCTTGGCCCCAAGCAGGTCCAATATCTCCAACTCCAAGAACCAGAAGCACCAGCACCAGTATTTACCGTATTTGTTGGGTTTCTCCGGATGGTCTAACGCGCATACTTGCCACGTATCACCACCGTCCAGTGTCACCTCAACACGTGTCACCTTTCTCCCAGCCCCTGCGCGCACAACGAGAAGGTTAATTAGTCTCACTCTCGATCGCTTTCCAATTGAGTTCCAAGTGGACCAGAAAACACTAAACACGTTTCACAAGTTGCAATCTATCATATCACATTACGCCCTCTAATTTATCACTGCCCCTGCGATTGAAACTAGTACATATATAGAACGAACACCAAGCTCCTATCAAACTCTGGGGTTTCTTTTATTTCTAGATTTTCCATAAATAAAAACAATTTATGTTTTCTAGCCTTGTTGCTAGTTTTCGCAAATAGGCAGATCTCCTACTCTACGAAAATCAAACCAAACTAACTGCAAATTAAAACATCTTCACAATAAACTTGAATAAGAAATAAAAAAATTGATCATATTTTAACAGTTTTGGCACAAAATAAAAAATAGTTAATTCTCTTAGTTCATATAATATATATGATGATATTAAAATATGACATAACCACGCTTAGAAAGTTAGAATAGTAGAACCAATAAGATTCCCGGTGGTGTCATAATTAGCATCTACTTCCATTTAAGACATCATATTCATGAATTGATATGATGGTTATCCACTAATGATGTGAAAATTGTGATGAAGTTATTGAAAAAAAAAAAAACATCTAAACAAGATTCAGAACGCCTGGATGTATCATCACTAATCAATTAACAATTTGAAAAGCTATTATAAAAATATGAGGTAAGATATAAAGTTCCAACACCATAATACCCTCAGATGATATTAAAATGACACAATTCTATATCTTTTAAAAAAACAAACATCAAACCCTATAAAGAGAAGAGAGTTAATGTTGGGAAATAAAAAACAGTAGGATTTAGGATAGAAATTAGGTGCAGAGTAACAAAACATCTCCTATAGTTCATGACAAATTAAGTCGGTTTGTCGTTGGAATGACATAAATAAAGCTCACCGGAATATGCGTAACCTCTGAGTACATAAGGTGTCTGAGTAGTCCATGAGTTGATGGGCAAGATCTCATCGTGGCAGGGAGTGGTTATTACCGAGTTTATGTTAAGATCGTTGATAATATACTCTGGCTTGTACCACCAACCTAAAAGTTTTGAAAGAAATAAAATAATATTTTAATTACAGTTTGTTGTTATAACTCCATAAATTAAGGGAAAGAAAGAGCAAGTACAAGAGAGTACAATACCTTCGGCATTGGCAAGCTCGGCGTCAACGTGGGAGGGGAGTACTCTGTTATCCTTGTAATGGTAAAAACTGTCAGATTGCTGGGTAGTTACAACGATGCGTTTCAACCATTTCACCATGCGGCCACCAATGAAACCCGGTATTATCAACCGTACGGGGAAGCCGTGATCTGGGGCCAAATGCTCACCGTTTTGCATGAAAGCTAAGATGATGTCGCGGGAGGGATCCAGTGCAATCTCCCTCAGGATACTGGTTCCATACTTGGACCCACCTCCACCTGGCAGATCCTCGTCTCCTTCGAAGCACACGTGGAGGGCTCCCTTTGAGCGAGTAAAGATCCCACACCGCTTGAGCACGCTCCTCAACGGTACACCACGCCACACCGAAGTGGAGATGGCAGCAGCGCCCCAATTGAACCCGATGCTCTGCTTCACCATGTTCTGTTCCTTGCGGCGGTTCCCAGCGCAGACAAGGGTAACGGGGAACTCGCGGTTTCGGAAATCGTGAACCAGCTGGTCCATGGTGAACCGGGAGGGACGGTTCACTAGGCCGGATACCTCGACGGTCCAGTCCTCCCAACGTGCTCTGGGAACGAGTCCGTGGTTACGGACGTAGTGGAGTGGAACGGGGGTGATGAAGCCATGGCGCATGAGGCTTGGGAGTGGTGGTTCGGAGTTGAAGGGATGCTTACCTGTGAGACGGACCAGGGAAGTGTTCCGTTGGATCCATTGGTCGGAGGTTCCATCATCTCGTGGGTCGAAGATGGAGGGTTCCACTTCCATGGTTCCCTCTCGAATCATGTCTTTTAAGTTGGCAATAATGACGTTATCGTCGTCTTCGCTTGAGGAATCTGATACGAAGGACGGTTCGGGTGACTTATTGGGTAGATTGAAGGTGCGAACGACGTCGTGTTGGAGAGGAGTGTATGGGCGGTTGTCGACGGAAGCGGCCATATTGAATATTTATTCAGTAGGTAGTAGTAGGAAAAAACGAAATTATTAAAAAGGAGTTTAATAATATAAGGTTTTTTTTTTATGAGAAAAAATGGTTGTTGAGTTGAGCGAGGGAAAGATGTAGGCATTGAGGGAGTTATATAGAGGCGTGTTCCAGTCAAAACAGTTTATTTAGTCAGTGACATCACTGTCCCCACAAACATTGCCTTCCCTCTTTTTCTTTTTCTTTTTTGAAAATAGATACTAATTGTTTTTTTAGGCGAATCAGAACTCTGTACGGGTTCGACTTTTTGAATCGTATGGAACTAATTCATAGTTCGTGTGCGAGTTCAAGGATTACGGTACTTATATCCCTCTTCAGATAATGTTGGTGAGATTCGAACCGAGGTCCTCTCTCACCACTCAGTCTTCGTGCTACCAACTCACACTTGTTCCTTCTCTCTTTTCTTTTGCACCGGGATGATTAATCTCTTTTGTAATAACAGTAAAATAATTAAAATACTATGTTACATATAATATAAATCCGTTTTAGAGATGTAATAAAATTCATGTACTTCCCCCTTAAGAGTTTAAAATTTTGAGAGTGGCGATTCATATGCCAACATGATATGAGATTACCTATGATCAAATCACCTAAAATTTGATTCGTTATTGCATATATTGTTCTAAACAAATGAAAATAATTAATATAATTTCACCCAATAATTTAATTCATATAAATGAAAATGGTTAGGAAATATAACAAATCATTTATTTGTATTCACCTAAATAAAATAAGTTTTTGAGAAAATCAATTAAATGACATAGTATCAAATTTTATGAATTGATGATTTAGAGTTCAATTTTTATCACATGTAATTTTAATAAATAAAATTGAATTGAAGTATGTTAGAGAAATAGAAAATTATTAACATAGCTTCACCAAATGCTTTAAAATTTTGGTTATAAGGTTATATTAATAATTGTATATCTTTCTAACAAAACATAATATAATCAAAATAATAAAAAGAATGAGAATGTGTGTCCTCCATAATTTAAAATCAAAAGAATTCTTACATATCCTACAAATATGTTTAGAAATATAATAAAATTATTTATGTGCGTGTGTTAGAAGGAACTAAAATCATCCAAAAATGATTGGCTATAGGTCGAGTTGAGTTTGTGGGTCACACGTATGAAAAATCTGGACAGGAATTAGATCGCATGGTATTGGTAGTACAAGCTTCTAAGGGAGCTTCCCGTGGCCGAAAGTTTTATGTCCACACAAATATCATTATACCGATAAAGGTTTAGGGTATATTCTGGCTATTTCTATCCTGCACACAGCTAGCATGTACGATGTAAAAATATTGCAAACTAAAAGACTCTTGGATGAAGATCGTATTTAAGTTTCTGTTTTCTTAGCTTAATTTCCTTTTGTTTAAAGCCCTCCATATATTTGTACTAAAAAAAAAAAGTGGCAGTATCCAAAAACAAAAAAAAAAGTGGCACACATAATTTACTATCATTGATTAAAGTTAATTACTTGCAACTCTCATAACCAATTAAAATTAAAAATAAAAATCAATAGTGTCGTAATGTCGTCCGATCGATATCAAACCTTTGATTCTTCAAGTAACATAGTATCAAAAAAATATTAAAAAAAAGTGTATGAGTTATATTATTGTATTTTAAAAAATATTAAATTTCGACACGTTAGGACATGTTTTGATATTATATAATATTTTTAATTCATGTAGTGTATATTATATTTAGTATTCAATAATTTAATAAAAAAAATGAAGCTAAACTTATAATACACATCAATTTTGCAAAGAAACATAATATATCCCAAACATTTTATAGTAAACTCAATAAAATCGTACTTGTAATCTAACGAATATAATTGTTGAAACTCAAAATACAACGCAACGTAACCTTTGAGCTTTTTTTGAGTCTTTGCAACGAGTATTAGAATGTCGGGAAGTGTCGGAGTGTCGGTGAGTGTCAGACACGACACGTCAGAATTTTTGAAATATCGGTATTTCATAACAGTGAACTATCATTATTCCCTTAAAATTTTAAATAACAATATATTTGATAATACATTTGTAAATAGTGTATCTTAAAAAATTAATTATTTTTTCTTTTAAGTTTCCTTAAAAACTAATAAAATTCCAAATAAATTAATCCAAACGAAGGCCAGGTCATCACTCATCAGGCATACATTATTGATTTCAAAAGCAATGCTACTGTCATCACCAGTATCAAAGTAAATCAGGCAGCTGATTCACCATTTATTTTTATTTTTTTACAAGCACGAGGTATCCCATTCAACCCTTGCGGTTTGATTCACCGTTAGTATTCCACCACCCACAGAATAGTAGTTATCCGGATTTGACTTATGGACTACTATTAACTATCACAGCACCAATAAAACCTATCAACTCCTTTCTTTCTTTTTTTACGGAAAAAAAGGTTTATAAAAAAGCTTTGTGATACAAATATGTATCAACTTTTCAATCAAGACGGAAAAGAAAAGGAAATCCGATTTGTATAAAAGGCGTTTATTTGTGCAATGTGCTAGTGGATTTAATTACAAGATAATAAGTGGAACCAGATTGTAAACTTTTCGTGGCTTGATTCCTAAATAATTTAATAAGTTAAACTTACAAGTTTGAGTTAAAATTTTTAATTTATTCATTAAATAAGTTAACTCAATTTTTTATTTAATCAATTTATAAACGGACTCAAAAGAATATATGTAATTTTATTTTTATATTAAGCATGATTAAAATATATGAAAATTAACATATATAAAAATATATTGAATATGAAATTTAAGTCTAATTCATCGAAATTTTTAAAAATCTAAGAATATGGCTCTTCACTGAATTATGTACTCAATAATATAGGCAAAACATAAATGGAAAAGGTTTGTCAATACACACAACTAAATAATGGCTATAAAAAAAAAAATAAAGGGGATAATAAAACTACCAGAATGGAAGAAAAGTCACGCTATATGTTGCATTTTGTATATCGTTGCGTTTGAAAACTTTCCATTCACTTGTTTTATATGGTGAATGGAAAGAAAATTCGATCGGCAAAGGTTAGAAGAAGTTGAACTCACTTCATGAGCTTGTTAAAGAAAATTTTACATTAAGGCTCAAGAAGGGAACGGTGCAAAGTCCCTCAACATTTGATCGGCAAAGGTGACAATTTCCAGAATAAGTGAGAATTCTCTGTTCAATATTCCGTTAAAAATGTTTTGTTGATATTGCATCTTAAATTCTTTTAAATTCTCCCTGTTTGAATTTTGAAGTCCATGCTTGTTAATTGCATAGATCTTGTTGTAACTCAAATTTGACTTTGGTTTCTTTTCCACCAAAATATGGTAGGTAGTATTGGATGTAAATAATGGCCGCAAAAAGGTTCTATGCTCATAATTATATTATATTTCTCTGTAGTTCAATAAAACCATATCATTAAACAAAAATATCATTTTCTTTACTATTTTTGAGTCATTTTGTTAAATTCATCAAACATAGTTATAACTAAAGAGTTCTTAATCACAAAAGAAAAATCGGCTGAGGATATTTTGGTGAATCTTAATAAAAGGTATTTAATAAATTATCCATTATATTTTTGCCATGGTTTTTAAACTGGATCATATAGCAGTCAATTAATGGTAATAATGAAGAGCCAAAGGGTTTTTTATCCTCCATGCTTGTGGCGACCAGTTTTGAACTAGCTAGCTTGTTGATCCTACACATTTATGTTATTTAATACAAGTAAGGCCATAATTAAGGTCAAGTCCCTCCAAAATTCCCATAATTAATCAGCATATCTAATCTAAGTAAGTATGGGACTGAAGAGATATGTAATTTAAACACTAATGGACAACCAATGGTAAAAGTCTAAAAGATGATTGAAAAGTGGAGGGAAGCATATAAATATCATGGGAGGGACAAATTTGCAAATGCGAAGTGGCGCATCGTGGTTTCCAACAGCCAATCAAGGAACTCAAAACATGGGGTTTCTTTCCGTACCAAAACAAGAGATCTAGATAGGTCGTGGTTTGGCATATGGTAACCAAACGGGGAGTAGATCCTCTCGTGTGGATAAGTGGTCATGTAATCATGTTATTTGATTATAACCACTCATTTAAAAATTATACACTTTTTTTTTCTCTTATTTCATTATCAATGAGTGGTTATGATCAAATAACATGACCACTTTTCCACGTGAGAGGATTCACTCCTAACCAAATGGGAAGGGAAAGAAAAAAAAGGACACAGCAACTAACTAGGGGCGACTACTTGGGTGTCGAGGGGGTTAATGTGTGTGGTTGGCTCTTTGGTGAAGCCTGGAGACACCTTGTTTTGTGGTGGCTCTCATTTTCTCTTTCTCTGTCACTCTGTCTCTCTCTGTCACCCACTCTTTACATCTTAATTAGCCGTATAAAAAGCCATTTTCATCGATTTTCCTTTCAGGGTTTCTAAACTTCACAGGCACGTGCTTCCAATCTTAATCATCTGTAATCACAACGTAGAATGTGCCCCTCACAATGTGTGTGCTGTGTGTGGAGAAGAATTATGTCATGCTAAAATTTTATGTGGTCTTGTTATATTAAAATTTATCTCTTTTTTTATAAATATTAAATAAGTAAGGATTTATTAAAATTTATGAATATTTATATTAAAGAGATGAGAATGAGTATTTGTGAAATTTAGATAAATATATTAAATAATTAAGGATTTATTAAAATTTATAAATGTTTATATTAAATAGATAAACGTGAGAATTTGTGAAATTTTAAAATGAAAACAATTCTCTGACTTAACCGGGACAAGAAATGTGAATGTGTAAAAAAAAAATTAATATAAAAAAATTATGAACACATAAGGAAAAAATTTACAATTTTTCATCTAGTAAATAATGATTTTTTTTTTATGTCTTCAGGCGGAGCAAGAAGGGAGTTGGACGATTGTTCTCCCATTAACTTTATATAAATTTTTAGTTTGAATATTATTTTTACTTTTTTTTAATAATATATTTATATACTAATACCCCTCCAAACTTATAATTTTGTTTTGAACATTTA